AAGGTTGCTTACTCTCACCCTTTCTCTGTCTCCTGGTGATCGACTGGATCATGAAGGCATCAACATCTGAAGGGAAACACGGGATACAGTGGGCAGCTAGAATGCAGCTGGACGATCTGGACTTTGCAGATGATCTGGCCCTCCTATCGCAATCGCAACAACAAATGCAGGAGAAAATGATCACTGTAGCAGCAGCCTCAGCAGCATTAGATCTCAATACACACAGAGGGAAAAGCAAGATTCTCCGTTACAACATAGCATGCACCAATGCAGTCACAATTGACGGAGAAGATTTGGAAGATGTAGAAACTTTTACATATCTGGCAGCATCATTGATGAACACGGTGGATCTGATTCAGATGTGAAAGCGCGGATCGGCAAGGCAAGAGCACTGTATTTACAACTGAAGGACATCTGGAACTTAAACCAACTGTCAACCAACACCAAGGTCAGGATTTTCAATACAAATATCAAGACAGTTCTACTGTATGGGGCAGAAACCTGGAGAACTACGAAAGCCATCATACAGAAAATACAGGTGCTTATTAACAGTTGTCTACGTAAAATACTTCGGATCCGTTGGCCGGACACTATTAGCAACAACGTACTGTGGGAAAGAACAAACCGGAACCCAGCGCAGGAAGAAATCAGGAAGAAGCGCTGGAAATGAATAGGACACGCATTGAGGAAAGCACCCAACCGCCTCACAAGGCAAGCCCGCACTTGAAATCCTTAAGGCCAAAGGGGGAGAGGAAGACCAAAGAACACATTACGCCGGGAAATGGATACAGACAGACATGAGAAAAATGAACAAGGATTGTATAGATCTAGAAAGGAAGGCGGAGGACAGAGTGGGTTGGAGAATGCTGGTTGGCGGCCTATGCTCCATTAAGAGTAACAGGCGTAAGTAACGATGATCTATTGAAGAATAAATGGATATTTTTGAAAACATCTTACTTAATGTTTCTGAGGTCACTAACCTCATGCCAAACCCTCTTCTATCCGTGCTTAGGACTGGCAGTAGCCACAGAAGGGCTCCATGCGTAGTTTTTTTGAAAACATCTGAAATACTTGAATCTCAGCAGAAAAATTTTAAAATAGGGTTTTTTTTTAAAAAGTACTATTTTTGATTGATTTCTCTTGAATGTTTTATAGAGATTTCGTAAATTTATTTAACTGTCTATTTATCTTTAGTTTAATTGTCAACAGCATTATTGGTGGCTTCGTTATTGAGGTAAACCAGTTAGATATTATCCCATTCTGATAATAATAATCAACTGCTCACTAGTGACTGACTTCAGGAAAAACTCCCGAAGTTCTAGTGAGAAGCCGTTACCAGTGGAGTTCAACCAGGTCTGTTGTGAGATAGGAACTCACTGAAGACAATGGTGTACGGTGGCGCAACTTCGTGGATTGGTTGAAATTAGACATTAACACCGTTGGATGCCGGCTCAGTGGTCTAATGGTTAAGTGCTCGCGCGCGAAGCCACTAGGTCCTGGGTTCGAGCCCCGCGTGGTGCGGGATCGTGGATGCGCACTGCTGAGGAGTCCCATACTAGGACGAAACGGCCGTCCAGTGCTTCCAGGTTTTCAGTGGTGGTCTAGCTTCAACTGACTCATGATTTCAATCTGTGAAATTTGTAAAATCTCCACAAAACCCATTCTGATAATAAATATTATCCACTAAGTTACAATTTATTAAGTTTTCAACTAGACAACTCTTTTTCTCTTTTAAATCATCTAACGGTGAGTGGATGTTATATCCTTACTTACTTACGCCTGTTACCTCTCATGGAAGAGCATAGGCCGCCCACCGACATTCTACATCCATCTCTGTCCTATGCAATCCTTCCTAGCAGCTATTCATTCTTTTCATATCTGCTTCCGATTCTCGGTGTAATGTGTTTTTTTGGCCTTCCTCTTTCACTTTTCCCTTCAGGATTCAAAATTAGGGCTTACATCGTGATGCAGTTTAGAGATTTCCATGGTGTTTGTCCTATCGACTTCCATCTTCTTCTCCTAATTTCTTCTTGTATCCTAGCTTGATGAACTATTCTCCTGAAGTAACTGATTATTTGGAGAAAACTTCATCTGTGCTAATCTACTCTATAGTTTGTTGATACATTTTAATGACTCCAATTAAATGGTGGATTTACATTGCTCAGGATTTTCAAGCTAGAATGTAATAGACAAAGATAGATATTGGCTGAAAGTGGAATCCAGGACGCGCGTTTTGTACTATTTGAGACTCGTCAACTGGATGTAACTGCATCCCAAAGTTGGTGTTCACTCTGTGATTCGAAGCTAAGACTCAGTCTCCAAGTGGATTACGCGATGGCGTTTGCAGTGAACGGTACTTGTTTCAAGTTCCAGAATGAACATCAACTCTAAAATGCAGATACATCCAGCTGACGAGTCCAAAATAGGACAAAACGCGCATCCTTGATTCTACTGCTAGCCACTACCCATCTCTGTCTATAATGCTTGTGAATCGAGGCAATATCAAGGCAATGCGAATAAGAAACTGATCAATTGCAGTCTTAAACATCAATGAGAAGATTCAAGTAAACAATACCAAGTGAATTAAGAATGAAATAGTTTTCCATTTCTCCTTGATTTTCAATAGTTGTTTAATTAAGATGATTACATAATATAAAATACCAAATGTAACAATCTTCACAAACCTTTTACATTTATGAAAACACAGTTGTTTAAATTTTAACACCATAAATACTAAGTAAAGAATTAAAAAAAAACAAGATTAGACAGCAATAATTCACTTGTAAACTAATCTATCATACAATGTCTATGTATATTGACACTATGTATACTATGTACAATTCAACATATAGATCAATAAATTAGCCTTTTTGCGTACATTCATGATTTAGTATTCTACTATTTCACCATAATATTACGTAATGATATTTCTTGTTATTGATTGAGATCATGGACCGATTGATGTAAGACCACCATTGAATACCTGGAAGCACTGGACGGCTGTTTCATCCCATTGTTGGACTCCTCGGCAGTGCGTATCCACGGTCCCGCCCGCGGGGTTCGAACCAAGGACCTTCGGTATCGCGAGATCGTGGAGGAGTTCCATAATAGGACGAAACTGTCGTCCAGTGCTTCCAGGTTTTCAATGGTGGTCTAGCTTCAATTGACTCATGAATTCAACTACTAAACAAATAACAACTAGATAGTTTACATTTGACACCTTAGTATGAGCTAGGAACTCTAATCATGAATTACTTATGATCTTTCTAAAACAACATTATGAACAGCTAATATAGCTTATAAAACATGATACCTGTAAAAAATACCTAACAGTTGTTCGTAAGTTTTCACCTGATCGACAAACTGAATTTGTCAGTAGGGTGCCATGGGGATTGTTGAATTTCATTGAAACCCATTTTCTTCAGTGAGTAAGTGCCTTTCAATCGACACGGTTCAGCCCCAGTGGTCGCGGATTCTCACTAGAATTCCGGAGATCTCCTCTCTAAGCTAGTTACTAATTACCACATGGTAAATTTTCATTAAGGAGCTGTGGAAATTGTTGATGGCCGTACAATTTCGTGGATTGATTGAACTTCAACGTTAAACCATTGATTGCCGACCCAGTGGTCTAGAGGTTAAGCGTTCGCGCGCGGAACCGAGGGTGCTGGATTTGATCTCAGGTTGTGTGATCGTGGATACACACTGTTGAGACGTTCCATATATCGAAGCAATCCATACGGGATGCCCATATACCAAACAATCTGACCAAATGCTAGTTAAAATATCTAACAAAGGGATAATCCAAGTCATTTCAAATTATTGACTTTTGGTTTACATAAACTTTCCTACCATCTTAATTCATTCAATTTTTATCGTCACTCCATTGTACAAACCAGTGGTTATCTTGAGTAAGTAGCTAAAACAATAACATACTGAAGTTCAAAGCAAATAGTAATGGGTTCGAGCTCCAGCGTAAACATCAACTCTGGTATGCAGATACATCCAAGTGACGAGGCCTGAGTAAGACGCAACACACGTCCTAGATTTTACTGCTCACTACTAACTATCTCTACTTAAAAAATGGGATTATTCAAGTTATTTTCTATCATCTTAACTAACTTGACTAACATTCTAATAACCCATAACTGATTGACCATAAAATTATTATATTTAAACTTTAATATTTCAGCCAAAAGTTTCTTCTGAGATTATAAAAGTATCTTTAAATAGTCAAATTAAGTGTTGTGCTACATGATATGCTGCTTATGAATGTGCTGTTCGTTTATAGTTATTGTTCTAATCAATAGTTAAATGTTCAGTTGAAGTAGATGTGTAATCAATCTTATTGTAATGCACCGATGAAATTTTAATTAAAAAATAAGATGTAACGTTGTATCTAACCCTGACATAACTATTAATGCACTTGGTCTTGTTTGGTTGTATCTTCCTGTTGTTGTTTAGGACTTCAATTGATCAGTCTCTTGTTGGTATATATGTGTCCTGTGCGGATTGCTTTAAGTCACAAGCTTTTTAAGCAAAGATGTACAAAGATGTACATATACCAGTCTTAAACATCAATTGGAAGATACTAGTAAAAACAAAACCAATTGAATTCAAACTTCACCCCATTGAACAAGCAAGTGGCTATCAGGATTTTGTAGCTGAGTAGATAACGTGATGATGTTTGAAGTAAACGGTACCGAGTTCAAGTCCCAAAGTGAACATCAACTGAGGAATGCTGGTACATGCAACTGATAAGTTCCGAATAGGATTAAAAGCGCATGCTAGATTCTACTGCTAGCCACAATCTATCTTTGCTTAATAACTTTTACTTAATGTATTATTTTACAGAGATTCACTTACAATAAATAGTAATTTCAGTATTGATAAATAGACAATTATCTCATTAAATAAACATTTGAATTCTCATTGATTTATATTGTCCTGTTGTTTTTTTCTTCTTTGTTTTTCTCTTCGTTACTATTCTTGTTATGATTTAGTTGGCAAATCTATTTTTAATTGGTTCACCATTAGCCTTATTTATATCCGTTAATGATTTATGTCCACCAACATATATAAATCCATCGACTAATTCATTACAATTAACTAATTCTACGGATGATGAACGAGATCCAACAAGTAATTCACATTCAGTACAAAATAGTATTACATCAACAACAACAACAACATCAACATCTAAACATACAGGTGTTGATTTAGATGAAATTGATCCTGAAGCATTATTTTCATATTTTGCATGTCGAAGAGTATTCAATATATTTCATTCATATGATCCAGTGGTAAGTATATATGTAACATTTAATTCATGGTTATGTTATTACTGTTTGTAATGTAACACAAGTTTATCTGTGCATTATTCATCATGGATTGAAGCATTCGACAACTGTTCCATCCTGGAATATGAAACTACTCAACATTAAGCAGTTAATATCATTTTTATAGTAAACCATTTTTATGCATTATCACCGGTCAGTGCAACCCAGTATCTTGTTATGATAAGAATGATTTTGAAAGTGTTGAAATTCTCAAATTGAACACTATCTCATACAGATGAACACTTGTTCGAACTACTTTTGTAGATGGAAAATGTATCGTTGAATAGACTGGCAACTTGTTTTTATGACTTTTACATGTTATACAAGGAAAACCATTTCTATTCTATAAACTTTCTTATCATCTTCTCTAGTCGGTCTATCATTCAAAAGTGTGTTAGGGATACAAATCAATATGGATCTATAAATCCGATTATTCTTTTGCGGTAGGTTACATTGGATGTACACTTCCAAAATTCATCTTACATTATAACTTGAAATGACTGTTAACATAAGAACGCAAAACAATAATTAGTTTAATTCTGAAACATCTCATCAATTCAAGTCATCCTATTTCATTAGAATTGTCTTTCGAAATAATCTACAAAGCCAAACAATTAGAGTCGATAAGAGTATATATTAAGTTATCGTACACTTCAAAGGCTTTAACAAATCATTGGTTCAATTCTTAACACTGTATGTAAAAGCGTCACATGTATTACCTCATTTATATCATAGGACTAACGTCTGTTCTAATCTATCTTACTCAGCAATCAACTGTTATTACATTTTTATAGTTTTTCTTTTTTTGTGTGTGAGTATTACTCAACTATTATTGTCTCCATGCTTTTCATTTCTTCTCTATACTTCTTTAATATAGAAAGTTCTCTCATACTTTTTTAACCTATAAACTATTTTCATTCTATCAGTTATATTTAACCTCTAAATCAATTACACTCAAACTTCCTATGATATATCAGATACTCAAATACTTCATCATATAGTTCACGTTGTTTTTTCCTTCAATAAACTACTATTTCCTTTATTAATATCAGAAGGGATTTTTGTGAATATTTTAGTAATTTCAATCGTTGAAGTTAAACATTAACACCGTTAGATGCCAGTTCAGTAGTTTAGTGTTTAAGCGCTTGTGCGCAAGACTGACAGGTTCTAGGTTCGAGTCTTGCGAGATGTGATCGTGGATACGCATTGCTGAGGAGACCCACAGTAGGACAAAACGGCGGTCCAGTGCTTCCAGGTTTTCCATGGTGGCCTAGCTTCAATTGACTCATGATTTCAACTATTGAAATTACTGTTTTCTTTGTTCAATAATTACCGGTAAGAGTGTATAGTTCCACTGAATGATATCTCATTCACTAAAGCATATTGAGCTCTTCTTTGAATATGTAATACTTCTTCTTCTTCTTTCTCTCTTTATATCTATTGAACATTTAACTTCATATACTTCATTATTGATCATTTAAAGTACAGACTATTTCAGCGTTTGCTGATATACATATATCCCCTTTTAAATCACTAAGGTCAAATGACATGTTTCTAAATAAAAATGTATTACATTGTTAAATTATGTTTCAATTTACTAATTAGAAATTAAGGACATATTTTGAAGTATTTGAAATCAAAATAACAGAGTTTATATAAGAATTTGTTTAAAATAACTTAAGATGAATTGTCATTTCATCAGTCAGTCAGGTACAACGTAGGATCAGACACACATTTATGCATCGGTCCAAGTTGCCATACCTCATTAACACAACAAGATGAACATTAAATTCATGGAATTAGTTAATTCAATGGTAGTACTATATAAAAGAAAGAAAGATATAAAGTAATTTTAATCTCATAGTTTAAGGGAAGATAGACAGTGTATACACCGACGCCATTGTGATTGATTCTGAACCATATCACCCAAAGTCTCCAACCATTGGTTAGGATAGTCATGAGGACCCCAGCCAAGTAGTTTGTATGTACCAACATGGCTCAGACAAGAAGTTAGTGACTTGAAACACTGATGTCACGTTTTAGTTTGGCTGCCCATAACTTTCTTTTAACCATTCCCAACACTAGTCAGCATTGCGCGTCGTGGTAATCGGTGTTCAGGCATACACAACACGCGGCCCAACCATCTCAGTTGATGAAGATTTACAACCTCATCAACTGATTTACCATCATGCCCTAATACCTTGCGTCTAACCTCACTATTTCTTAACCGATGATTCCAGAAGATGCGAGCAATATTTCTACGGCATCTGTGGTCAAATAATGTAACAGAAAAGTATATTCGTATATTAGTTACACATAAATATTTAGTTTTTGAACTGTTTTCACCACTATTGATATTATTATTGTTTTGAATTCTTCAGATTTCATCATAGTGATTTCCTTCTTCTTCTCATTGATATGATATACAACATCGGCTTTTATTCCAAAGCATATATTGTTTATGACTCACGTATCCATTAACAACAGTATCCCAACAAGAACCAGTGAATCTACTAACGGGAATTATTTTGTACTTGCGACACACATTATTTGAGTTGAAACTTCATAGAGTGTTAAAATTATTCAACTATTAAAATTTGTCAAGAATGCTAGTTTCGGTCAATGGTAGTCGACTGATGACGGTGATCACGGATGAAGTGGAGAAACATTAATAATAACATATATGTCACGTGATAGGCAACTGCATTACGTGTTTGTGAGGTTGAAATACTCTTCATTAAGTGGTGGATAACGATATCTACATATGAATGGACAGGATCAACTTGACATTTATCGGTCTACATCCCTTTGGCTTCTCAGATGACCTAGTTCTCCTATCCCATTCACACGAATAAATGCAGATGAGGAAAACCAGTGTAGCAACAGCCTGTGCATCAGTAGGCCACAACGTACACAAGGGGAAAACCAAGATCCTCAAATATAACATGGAGAACAGAAATTCAATAACATTTAATGGCAAAACTCTGGAAGATGTAGAATCCTTCACATAACTGGAAGGCATCATCGATGAACAGGGAGGATCTGATGCAGAGGTAAACGTGAGGATTAGCAAATAAAGGGCCGCACTCCAACAATTGAAGAACACATAGAATTCAAAACAACTTTCAACCAATATCAAAATCACAATCTTTAATACGAACGCCAAGACAGTCCTATTGTACGGAGCTGAGCGTAGAGAACAACTTCAACCATCATCAAAAATGTGCAAGTATTTATAAATATTTGCCTACGCGAGATACTCCACATCTATTAGCTGTATACCATCAGCAACAGTCTACTGTGGGAGAGAACATAACTGCTTCCAGCTGAAGAGGAAATTGGGGAAAGACGATGGAAATGGATAGGATATACATTACGAAAATCATCGAACTGCATCACGAGACAAGCCCTTACCTGGAATCCTCAATAGAAGCGGAAAAGTGGAAGGCCAAAGAACACATTTCGTCGAGAAATAGAAGCAGATATGAAAAGAATGAATAACAACTTGAAAGATATGGAAATGGCAGCCCAGGACAGGATTGGATGGAGAATGCTGGATGAGCGGCCTATGCTCCTCCACAAGGAGTAACAAGCTTAAATAATAATGATGACATCCCTTAATGTTACTCATTAAACCTTCATAGCACTTGACCATATCCCATTATATTCTTCAAGGATTAAATACATGATTAAATACATCTTGATTATTTGTCAATTTCTTTTTTTGTAATATGACTTATCCACTTACTATTAACTGATTATTAAAATATCAATGGATCAATTCATGTTTAGTGTATTACACCAACTCATATTGTGTTTATCACAAGTTATATCAAATAACAGTTTGTTATTGCCTAAATATGTCATTAATGCATAAAACTAAATACTTTAAGTTTTCTCTTCTTGATTCCACTCAGTAATAACGATACTAATACTAATACTAATACCATTACTACTACTAATAATAATAATAGTAATAGTAATAATAATAGGATCAGCTTTCCTTATTTTGTCAGTCATATGCTTTCAGCTGTTTTTAAAAAAAACAAAACTATCATCAAATATTCACATTAAAAGCATAAAATAGAATTAGTATTAACAAAGAATATTACACTATTAATCTGTATGTGTAACCATACAAAATTACCTAATACCATTTGTTTAATACTATCAATAATTATCTTAGAAACATAGAAATGATCTCACGCATTGGAATAGTCATTTGATTCATTTATATATAAGTCATTATCACAATGGTTGGTATCATCTTATGCTTACATTAGGGTGTGTGTGTGTGTGTATGTATGTGTGATTAGATTGGATTGTATTTTCATTGTTCTAAGTGTTTACAATTAGTCTAGTCAAATGAATGAATGAATAAATTTCTTATACTTATTTATTTTGTTGATGATTAAGGAAGTGTTGATAAATAAATGATCTTGAGTTCTGTTAGAGTTATCATTTCCCGAATGCCCACAACGTGGAAGGGTTCTTCTGGAAGTACTTGAAAAGGGAATTGGATAAGAAGTGATCTTGTTGACTTGAGAGAGTGACAACTGCTTGAGGTCGGTCACATACGACTTTATTGTGAGTAATTTTCGTGTTAGCTCCGTACTTGTTGAGACCTTACCACCGGAGATGGATATCTGTGGGATAAGGCGAGGTGTGTATTTTTAGGGTCGACCTTTTCTAACCTCACCTCTCCTTGTGGGAAAGCAGCATCGCTGTTATGCCGGTTTTTTTGAAGGAAAAACCTTGCTACCGTCACACCTCTGTATAGTCAGCAGTACGACTTCACCTTTGGACCTTGGGTTTGCTGCTTTTAGTCTTACCGCTCTTCAACCGACATGTCTGAATGGTAGGACCTTGAGGAATGGTTGTCTCAGCCAGTATAGCTTGATTAGTTCATCACGATAGGCATGCTCGACCACCATGTCAAGATAGCAGCAATGGTCGTCAACTTG